GGACAAATCAGACTTGGATGATTCAGGCAGAGAGGGAACAGTCAATAGAGGGGAGGTGATGGAGAGGGGGTACTAAGGCCACTGCAGCTGTCATTACTGAGTGTGCTGGGGTCTGGTATACACTGACAGGTGATGAGGAAGATGGGCAAGGCCTGAGTGTCATGGAAGATGACAAAAATTCTAGGCTTTCTTGTGGAGTCGACAGCACTGTCATAGCGCTGGATGCCTTGCCCAGTGTCCCTCTGGGGTGGAACTCGAAGCTCTGGACATCCTGGCCCATAGTCTCCTGTCAGCACTCGAGCCATGAACACTGCCTTGTGCCCATTGGCATCTGGGGGTGAGTACCGGTCCTTGATGGAGACCTTAGCCTGTACAGCAAAGTATACCCCCTGACCGTACAAGGTGGCTGGGGTAGAGAGAGGAGAAAGATGAGACTCCAGCCCCTTGCCCTCGCTGCACCCCAGAGTCTTCCCATACCCACTAGGCCAGGCCAAATATCCTTTACACAGGTAGCCCCATCATTATTCCCCAATCCCTCACCTTTCTCTTTAAATCCTTCACTCTTCCCCACAACACCCCCCAACCTGTATCTAAGTCCTACTCCTCACTCTCCAATGTATGCCATCCCTCTCAGCATGTTCCCCTAAACTTTTCTTGTGGATCCTTCACATTGTCTCCCCATCTCTTACCATTTCGACCACAAAAGCTCCGATTGAAGCCATGGCTGCAGATATCAGGCACAGCTTGCCAAGAGGTCCCGTGGTACAGGATTCGCTCAACAGGGTGCTGCAGACATGACTGTTCCAGTTTCTTCTTATGGAGCTCGTACTGACTCTGGAGTAGGGGATTAGATACCCGCTCAACCTAAGGGGAAAGGAGGCTAACATTCAGTGGACAATAATTCAATCAGGCCAGAAGCTCAAAGGTTCCCAAACTGTGACCCCTAACATACTCCAAAGACCCTGAGAATGCTCCTACAACGTCCTGGACTTGATCTAGACCAAAAAGTCAAGAAGCAATTTCCCTTCATTTCCTAGGCTATGACCTAGGTACAAATGCAGTGAGTACCCAGCAGCTACAATGACTTCTCTATGGCCCTAGAAGGCAGCCCCTGACAATTACTCTGGCCAAGTCCCAGCAGAACTTTGTAATGTAAAGGGGTTGGAATAGGGATTGAGAAGAGGGTAGCTGAAGCATTAGTTTTAGCTTCAGGTCCAGAGCAGGGCAGGGCAGGGCTTCCTGGTGCCAGCTCAGAGCCCAGAAGTGACAGCAGTGTACTTAGACTCAAGAAACTTGGGTTCAAATCCCACCTCTAGCAATTACAAGCTGTGTCATCATGGACGAGTCATTTAACCTCTTTATGCTTCAGTTTCTCTCCTTATAAAATGCAGCCTGTTTCTTCCTTTGAAAACTGCACTCACTGGAGCCCTATGGTTGTTGTAAAGTAACATGTAAATCTGAGGGCACCTGAAATCCTAATACCAGCCTTTGAACTATATCTACACTCAGAGATCATTTCTCTGGGCCCTTACTCAGGAACAGGAAAGCCTCCAGGTGATCACTTCATTTTGCTGAGGATGGTGGCACAAGCCAGACCAGGCTGGGGGGAAAGGCCTTGAGTCAGAGCCCAGGGAAGACAGGCTCAGAAACCATAATGGTAATGTTGGGAGAGGATGATGAGATTTAAGAGAAACCTTCATAAAGCATTCATATCAGGGTGCCCTCTTGACCTTGGGCAGCTCTTATGGGACCCTTTTCTTCCTTAAAGCCTCCTAGGAACATGCCATAACCTTTGTGCCCTGCCCCCAACTCTGACCTTAGACTTGGGAAAAGCCCCAATTTTCTCCCTTCAGCATCTGAGCTCAAACTGCCTCTGCCATGGGCAGAGGAAGAGATACTGGGCAGGGAAAAGGGATAACAATAGTTAAAACAATAATAAATAGCAATTTAAAATTTACAACTTTCTTCACAACAGTGGAAAGATTATCACCCCCATTTTACCAAGGAAGAAATAATAACAGCTAGCATTTATATTGTACTTTATGGTTTGCAAAGTGCTTTACAAATATCATATCATTTGACCCTCACAACAACTATGATAAATAGGTACTATTATCTCCATTTTACAGAAGAGGAAACTGAGGCAGACAACAGTTAAGAGACCTTTCCAGGATGACACAGCTAGTAGGTATCAGAGGCTAGATTTGAACACAAGTCTTCCTGACTCCAGACCCAAAACTCTATAAACTATATACCATAATTTGTTCAGCCATTCCCCAATTGATTGGCATCCTCTCAATTTCCAATTCTTTGCCATTACAAAGAGCTGCTATAAATATTTTTGTACATATGGGTCCTTTTCTTTTTTTTTTTTGATCTCTTAAAGTGAATAGATCTAATAGTGATACACCCTGTTCAGAGGATATTCACGGTTTAAGAGTTTTTTGGGCGTAGTTACAAATTGTTTTCCAGAATGGTTGAAATAGTTCATGGTCCCAACAACAATGCATTAGTATATCCATTTCCCACATCCCTCCAGCATTTGTCATTTTCCTTTTCTGACATCTTAGCCAATCTGATGTGTGTGAGGTGATATCTCAGAGTTATTTTAATCTGCATTTCTTTATTTATTAGTGATTTAGGGAATTTTTGTATGAATATTGATGGCTCTTATTTCTTTAGAGGAAGTTTCTTCATCTGGAAATTCTCTATACTAATGACATCACAGATCCAGGCCCTGTCCTTATAGTATCACAAGAAACAATGACTATGAAGAGTTTCAAGGATCTTGGAAAGCTGCTGGTATGAAATGGTGCAGACTGAAGTAAGCAGAACCAGGAGAACAGGAAGGATGTGCAATGACTACAGTTATGTAAATGAAAAGAGCACACAAAAGGCATGAGAACCCTGATTAAATCACTAACCTCAGTCCTGGAGAATTGTCAGTGTCCCACCTATCAGTAGAGAGGTAAGGAATTCCAGATGTGAAATAAGATATATGTCGAAGAAGGTGGCTACTAGTTTAAAACCAAACAAAAGAGAAGCCCTGCTCTAATTCCCAGGCTACAGTTTCCAGTCAGCCCCAGGCTCTCCTCATGATGGTCAGAGGAAAGAGGACCTCTTTTCTGATCTTCCAGGCCTGGGTAGAATTGCTGGGAGCTGGAGAAGGGGATAATGTTTATAATGGGGAAGGAGAGAAGTGCTCAGGAGTGCCCAGGGCAGGGTGGGCTGAATTTTAGGCTTACCTTGACAATGCTAAGCTTGTTTGGGGAGCTGTCCAAGGTGCTGTAAAAGGCTTGGACTGTCTCCTGGAATTCCTCACTGCTCTCCTCCAGGCACTCCAGCTCTAAGGGCTGCTGCCCCATCACCTCTGGCACCACTGATGGGATATGGGGGGAGGAGTGAAGGGGACACAGAGCTAAGACCTTCATCCCTTCCCTCCCCAAGGTCCTGAAACTCAATTGTTGTAGTTTGGGGGTGGGGGGAGGAGACAGGGAGAAGCACTGGGCATGTGGGCAAGTGACTAAGGAAGATGAAGGTGAAGGTGGGGGGGGAGGGGGTTAGTGCCAGCCTTACCTTCTGCTCTGGCAGAGTCTGGGGCCAATGTGTGGCTCTGGCTTAAGGGGACAGTCATCAGTTCTCTGAGGTGATTGGCAGCACAGGAGGGCTGGGGACCATAGCCACTTAAGACAGCACAGTTTCCCTGCAGAACAACTGTCACATCATGGTGCCTCGCCAGGCGGGACCAGAATGCAGGGGGTAAATGCTGGTCCACACCCATCACCCTCTCTTCTTGTAGCTGTTCCCTGAGAACAGTCTCCAAAACTTGGCTCAGCTCGCTGAGGTCCTGATCACAGGCAACATGAACCACGAGTCTCCCACTACTGTGACTACCACCACTGTCATCGGGCTCTCTGTCATCCAGCAGAGACATCATCAGCGCTTGCCTCAGAGTTCTTGTCTCCCACATCATCAGGCTCTTCTCCTCCAGTGAATGATGCAGGGCCAACTGCAGGGCTGCCTCCTCCTCAAGTGTCTCCTTTGTTCTGCCAGGGGCTGCTACCCCCTCCTCAGACTCATGCAGTTCCTCCTCCTCCATCTCCAAGAGAGGATTTTCTTCTTCATCTAGGGTGTCCAGGAACTTCTTGATCTCCTCTGAAGGACAGGAAGAGGGATAGAGTTGGAGGGGTAAAAAATAGGAGAGGGGTAGTTTGAAGCTGGAGAGGGGAGATAGGGACAGTGGTAGAGGGGAGGCTGGGTGGTGCCCGTACCTATTTGGATAGTTGAAGTGTCTGGAGCAGTGCTGCTAGAGGGCGGGGGGTCATAGGCCCAGCTTTCTGGTGACTCTAGAGGGTCTGTGGGGTCAAGCTGTGGGAATAGGATCAGATAGGGAAAAACAGAGTCAGGACTCTACACACTCACTGCCCTACTCCCCCAGCCCCTATGTCTCTTGGGCGTAGCAACCTAAGGTTCAAAGTTCAGAATGATGGTAGCAAGATCTGAGATTGGGGGTTGTTTCCAAGATCCTGAGATGGGATCAACACTTAGCTCAGAGGTCAGGGTCAGGGCTTAGGGGGAAGGATGAAGGCAGGTACCTCCACGGGGTCTGCATCAAAAGCTGTTACCACCTGTTGTTCTACTGTGAGGATGCAACGGAACTGGGCCTCCAGGTCTTTCAGCAGGCCTTGGCCCTCACTGCCCAGCAGGAAGCAGGCACTGCCTGGGTGTTTCAGAGGCAGTGTTTGGCACTCAATGCTGCCCAGAAGACTCTGTAGGAAGTCTTTGCCAGCTTGGCATGGCTCCTGTGCCCCACTGAGCTGTGGACATAAAGAAAAGTTCAGAGGGAGACCTCTGAGTTGGGGAAAAGGAAAGCTCTTTCCTCAATGAGGTATGTCAAATATCAGAGCTTCTGAAGGTATGCTTGTGAAATCATAAACCTATTCTGGTAGGACTCTGAGAGATATCTCTTATGGATGAGCCAAAAAAAAGAGATATGGCAGAGACCAGGGGAAACTAGCTGGAAATATGAATCTGAACTTGGGGAAATGTGATCAGTCCCTTGGCTCAGAACCCTTCCACAGCCAATCTTCAATGCCCCCCCTATTGTTTCTAGTTTAAAACAGAAATTGTCTGGCAGAGGCACACTCTGGCTCCCATCTACTTTTCAAAACTCCCTCGTTTCCTTCAAAGTACAACTCAGGATTCATATCCTGCATGAGGTTTTTCCTAGTCCCCTAACTGATAATATTTTCTACCTCTTATAATCATTTTGTGTCACCTTTTAGTTACTAAGTGTTTGCTTCCCCCAATAGGATGAATATAAGGTCCATGAGGTCAGGGGCTTGGCATTTTTGTCTCTGCATCCCAGTGTCTAGTACAGCGCTTTGCACATAGAATAATTTATTGAATTAAATGGAATCTCTTCTGTCACTTTTCAACATTCCAGAATAAGAATCGTCTCTACAGCTTTCCTGAAAAGTGTTCATCTAATCTTTCCTTGAAGAACTTCAGTAATGGGGAAATCACTATATCCCCAACACAGCCCAACCCATTTGGGGACAGCCCCAATTGTTAGAATTTCCCTTATATTAACCTCAAATTTTCCTTCTTTTTCAGTGACCTGTGAGTTGGAGGTTCCTCTCAGGTAAGAAACAAGAAGGTAGTGAGTGGATAGACCTTGGAGTGGGGCTTTCAAACATAAAGAGGTTAGAAATTTCCATCTAACAAGGAGATGGAAAGGTGGTTCCTATCTCCGTGGCCACATAGTTATTCCTGGCCTAGACAATTCATTAGTAAATAATAATAATGATAGCAATAGGTTTCTGAAGCACCTTCTATGTTATCTCATTTAAGCCTCTCAACAGCCCTTTAAACAAGAAAATTAATAAACACAAAAGAAATCAAAAGTAATTGGGTGGCAAAATACAATCAAGTGAAATCAGGGAAGGGATCCTGAAAGAAGTAGTATTTGAGTTGAAACTTGAAGAAAGCTAGGTGTTCAACAAGAGATGGAAGTGAGGATGGGCATCCCAGGCATGGGGGACAGCCAGTCCAAAAGCACAGAGATGGTAAATAGAATGTTCTGTACAATCCCATGAAACCCTGTAGTTCAGACCAGATGGAATCAAGATCAAGAAATTCAATGAGAAAATACAAGAAATGACTTCTTCAGTCCCTAGAAATGCACTCCAAAAAAGTCAATCAGCAGCCCAGAAGTCATGGGAAAGGAGCCCACCAGCCCCAGCACAAAGTGGCCTCCAAGCATGACCTGTCAGGCCAACCATATGTGTAGCCTGCAAAACTCTGTGCCTGGAGGTAGCAAGTGCAGAGGACCCCTGAGAAAACTCTAGGATGGAGGCTTGGAAATCCCTGGGAATGATCCACATAGCACAACTGAGCAGTGCTCAGGCCCTCAGTCCCAGGGGCTTGGAGATCCCTAATACTTTGTCCTGGGATGCCAGAGAGGGCCCTGAAGATCCAGCACTCTGAATATTGAAGGTCCAGGGGAGCCTAACTCCAGGAAGAGGAAGTCATTGAAGGAACCCAGAATGAGACCAAGTGAGGATAACCACCCAAGCCAAACCCAAGAAATAAAGCTGGAGAGATGATAAAGTTAAAGAAAACACTTATTAGTATAAAAAAGATTGAAAATCTAGAGATCCCCAAAAAGAAAGAGTAAGTCTTTCACAACTGCAAGCAGAAATTATAAGGGGAAAAAAGTGTGTTTTCCCCCAAAGACTACATAAGTCCCTAGAAAAAAAAAATGAAGCAAGAAACAAAAATAAAATAAAAAATTTTGTGGAAAGAATTGGACAGAGAATAAGTAGCTGAGAAGAGAAAGTGGTAAACTTTATCCAAGAAATGGACTCCCTGAAAACTAGAACAGACCAAAAAGAAATCAATAACCCCATGAGCAAGAAATATTATAACAAAATCAAAAAATTGAAAAAATAAAAAGTAAAAGATATCTGATACAAAAAAACTGAGCTGGAAAACAGATCAAGGAGAGAAATTTTAAGAACCACTGGACTCCCTGAAAACAATGAGTAAAAAAGATAGGAAGAGGGGAGGGCCTGGGTGAGGGAAAATGAATTCCTTTTTGTACATGTTGAATTTCAGATGTGTACACTGGCAGAGGTGTCAAACTCAAGTGTGACTCCAACCAGATTAAAATGTAATTATGAAATGTTTAACAGAATATTAAAAATACAACACAACAAAGATCATGTCAATTTGTGGTTTTCTAAGTCAACCTGTGGCCAGCAGGAGTCAGTTTCTATTTAAGGTTCCTACAGGTTGATGTCCAGTTCAAGATATTCAAAAGGCAGCTGAAGATGTGAGACTAGAGGTCAGGAGAGAAGTAGATTAGTAGATTTGAGAATCATCAGCATAGAGATGGTAATTGGATCCATGAAAACTCATGAGAAGGGCATACAAACATGAAGGAAGGGCTGGGAGAATGGAGCATCACATAAGATGAATCTTACTCATATATGAAACAGACAGAGGAAGGTTGAAGGGATCCACAGTTTGGTGGAGAAATACATCCGGGATGGAGAGGGGGGAAGATTAAGAGAGAAGGTAATACTAAGGGAGGGAATAGCCACATGTAAAACACATTTCTTTATCTTGAAGGGGAGAGAGTATTTAATGGGGGGGGGGGGGAAAAGGGGAGAGAAAGAACTATAATCTAAGGATGTGCCTCAAATTGCCTCCTAGACAACTAGTAAATAGTTGAACATATTAATGTAATGTAATATTATTGCAGAAGAAATGATGAAAGAGACATTTCAGAGAATTCGGGGTTAATATGAATTGTTGAGAAGTGAAGTGAGTTAAACCAGGAGAACAATTTATACAAGGATAGCATCATTGTAAAGAAAAACAACTTTGAAAGACAAGAATTGATCAATCAAGCAGCCTGACCACCTCCAGAGCCCAGGGAGAGAGTGAGTAGACCACAGGTTGCCATAGAGAGAGTTGGGAAACCCAAGAAGGGAGATAAGAGTCAGGGACCATTGGAGATGCTGGAACCTCTTTTTACCTGGTCTATTCTCCTAAAAGATGGCACTGCTCCCTATAAGCTACCACTATGCTCAGAATAGCCCAGACACAGCATCAGGAGGAACTCACCCGAAAACCAGTGACATCTGGACCATCCAGTGGGCAAAGGGTCACTTCACCAAGGCTGGTAAGAAACTCCTGGTAATAGAGTTGCAGAAATCGCAAGGCACCTGGCTCCATGGGCAGCAGGATCTCCACATGCACCACTTCTTTAACCATCTCTTCCCCTCCCTCCCCTAGCACCGTCTTCTTGGGCACTGTGTCCCCCACTGGCTCTCTTGATCTCTCCCCTGGCACAGTTTCTTCCAGTACTGTGCTTCCCAGAAGTTCTACTGCCCCTGGTCTCTCCACAGTCACTGATTCCTCTGGTGTCTCCCTAGTCTCTGTTGCCTCCATTTTCTCCAAAGGAACTGTCCCCACAGCACTCTCCATAGGCAGTGTTATCCCTGGTTTCTTTATAGTCATCGTGGCTTCCAGTTTCTCCATGGGCACTATTTTTCCAAAGGTCTCTGTGGAAATCATCTCTCCCAGAGCTGGTCCATCTCCTTCCTCTGGTTTAGGCTCAGGCTCAGGCTCGGGCTCAGGCTCGGGCTCAGGCTCCAGGACATCATAGTGGGGTACTATGTTTAGCTCTAAATCGCCAAGCTGGTGATTTTGCCTCAACACTCGCTCTGCCACTGAGATGGGAAGAGAGTCCTTCAGGGCTAGTATCTCCAGGAATTTCTTGCTAACAGAGGCTTAAGGGACACCAGCTCAAATGAGCAGACTGGGAAGGTGGGGTATTGAGGTCGGGAGAGAAGTTGGGCTCCAGCTAGCATTTGGATCTGCTCCCCCCACACACAACCGGACCCTGGGCAAGGGAAGAAGAGGTACTCACCCTCCCACTGCTGGAAAGTGACAACAGTTCCCTGGGCCCTAGGTAGTGTCCGCAGCCCCTTCAGGGCACCGCCCCCACTGCGGCGAGAGTTCTCCAGGTAGAGCTGAAGTAGTGTGGGATCTGGGGGCTGATCTGTCCTCACAACCCTTACAGCACGGGCCTGGGGCACCGAGGCTAGTGACACCGTTGTGCCGCCCAGTGTTTTCCCACTGGACCGAGTAGCCAGCTCTTCAAACTCTGTCATAGGGAAGACGGCGGGCTGGAGAACTTTGGAACAATTCTCTTCTCTCCCTTACCAGGCCCCAACTCTCTCTCACCCTTGCAGCCCCGCTGCACTACCCTCCCTACTGCCCTCCCCATATTTCTGAGCCTCTCCCGTGTCAGCTCAGCCCACTCAGACCCCTCACCTGCTTCCGAAAGAGGCGTGGGTAACTGTACCAGGGCCCGGTCTGGCCGCGGACTGGCGAGGGCTTGACACTCTCCCTCGGTGCTCAAGAGGCTCTCCACATAAAGTTCCAGGAGGTCTGGGGCTGTGCCCGGCCTCAGGCCCAGGACCAACAGACGCTGTGGGGCCCGGGGTGGGGAAGGCACCACACTCACAGCTGTGCCCTGCAGCACATGGCTGGCCTGGGCCAGGACTCGCTGAGCATCTGGAATAAAAGGCGGGGGGCGAGGGGGGCAGGTCAGGGTTCCTAGCACGGATCTCTCGATTTGGCTCCAGGATCCTGTATCCTCTTCCCAACACACACACACGCACACACACACACACACACACACACACCCCGAGTCGTTCCCCATCGCCTTTCCAGCCTCTCCTTACCCTCTGGCTCTTGAAAGGTGAGGATCCCGCCTCCATCCAGCCGCTGCCAGCCTTTCAGAGGGCCGCCCCCGGAGCGCCGCCGGTTCTCGAAATACAGTGTCACTAGCTCGTCACACACGGCGTGGGGCAGACCCCGGAGCTCCACCTGCACCTCGGACCCCAGCTCAGTCATCCTCCTGGCCTTTCTTCTGTGCACTGGTCCCCGTGCCGCCGTCTGGCGCTCTCCCACCAGTCCTAGAAAATCATAGCCACTTCCCCTTACAAAGAAACGAAACCAAAAGAGACAACTTTGGCAAGTATCCTGGGCGGGGCAGAGTTGAGTTACTTATCATTTAAGAAGTAGCTGGTGGTGCAGTGGATAGAGCACTGGTCTAGATTCAGGAAGAACTTAGTTAAAATCCTGCCTCAGATACTTACTAGCTGTGTGACCCTGGGTAAGCCATTTAACCTCTGCCTACCTCAGTTTCCTCATTTGTAAAATGAGGACAATAATAGTACCTCCCTCCCGGGGTTGTTGTGAGGATCAGATAAGATACTCTTAATAAGCCTGGCACATAGTAATGCTATTTAAATTCTAGCTATTATTTTTATTCTATATAGATGTGGAACCGGCAAGGACCTCCGGAAGTCATCCAGCTCCACCCCGTCATTTCACAGCTGAGGACACTGAAGCCTGAGAAGTGAAGGGACTTGCTCAAAGTCATTCAGTAAGTGAGAGCTAGAATTTGAATCCAGGACCTCCGATTTCTGAGTCTGCATAGTCTTCTGTAGCATGCTGAAACTCTGCGGTTGAATTCTATTCAATGCAAAACTCACGAGGGGCCGTATTCATCAGCTTTCCTGTATGTTGGCATCTCAGGAATATTGATGAGGCAGCCTTCTAGAACTCTTAATGTGGGGACTGAATAAAGGAAAGACTGGAGGGAGGGAGGCTATTCGGACAGTCTAGCTCCGAGGGGATTAGGCTCAGACTCAGGCTGATTGTGGTGGGAGTGAGAGACGGGAAGAGAAGCAAAATTAGGGATTTTGTGGAGGAAGAATTGACAGGACTTGTCAACTGATCGAATATGGGGGTGGTGAGGGAGAGAGAAGAGTCAAGGATGATTCTGACGTTGTAAACCTGAGCGACTGCAAGGATCACAGGACTACAGGTTTAGAGCTGGCAAGGATCTCAGAGGTCACCCCCTGATTTTATAGATGAGGAAATGGAGGCCACGAGAGGTGGAGTGATTTGGTCACTGTGTGTGACCATACGGGTAGTAAGTAGCAGAAGTGGGCTTCCAACCTTGGTCCTTTGGCTCTCTATCCGGTACTCTTCCTGTTGGCAGAAAAAGGGAAGTTAGGATGAGGGGTGGACTTGGAGGAGATGAGAAGTGAGTTCTGTTTTGAACATGTTTCTTGCATTTGAATTGCCTGTAGGACACTCAGGTGTTACATAACCAATAATTACACGGTAATATGGGATTAGAGGCTGGGAGAAAGATGAGAGCTGGATCACATCCTATTCACCTAGGCATTACCTCCCTCCTGACTGCCCCCAGCCCCCACTTCCACATCTTACTCTGGAATCAGATCAATGTTACCATTGCTTCTAGAAAATTCATGTTTTATGTCAGTTTCCTGCACTGTGGACCAATTCACTGTCCCCATGACACCTCAGATCAAACTTCCCTTCTTTGGCCACTACTCTCCTTTATGTGTTGTCTCTATCTGTGAGAATATAAGCTCCTTAGAGGCAGCCAGGTAGCGCAGTGGATAGAGCATCACTTCTGGAGTCAGTCTGAGTTCAAATCTGGCCTCAGACATCACTAGCTGTGTGACCCTGGGCAAGTCACTTAACCCCAATTGCCTTGCCAAAAAAGAGAAGCTCCTTGAGGACAGGTACTGCCTCTGTCTTTGTAAATTTAAAAAAAATTATTGATATCTTTTATTTTCACATTGACTAAATTCCTTCTAGCACTCCTTTCCCTTACCTCTCCTAGAGGGCTATTCCATACAGCAAAGAACATTTTTAAGAAAAAAAGAAAGAGGGGCAGCTAGGTGGCACAGTGGATAGAGCACTGGCCCTAGAGTCAGGAAGACCTGAGTTCAAATCTGGCCTAAGACACTTACTAGGTCGCTGTGTGACCCTGGGCAAGTCACTTAACCCCCATTGCCTCCAAAATAAAAAAAGAAAAAGAAAAAAGAAAAAGAGAAAGAAGAGGAAAAAAATCAGCCAAACCAATCAATACATTAAAAGGTCATATGCAATCTTCCACACCATAGACCTCTCGCCTCTGGGGGAAAAAAAGGTGTCTTCCTACATATCTTCTTTCTGGCCATGCTTGTTCCGTAATATTCACTTTCATTTGTTTCGTGGTGCTTGTCCTTTCCATTTAAATTGTAGAAAATTCAATCGCCCCTTCTCAGTCTCCATTTTCTTTTGGTCTCTCTGCAGCATTTGACATTGTTGACCTACTTCCTTCTGGAATCTCTCTTCAATGGCATTTGTTGATACTGCTCTTTACGCTTCTCTTCTACAAGCCACGCCATTCCTTTTCAGTCTCCTTTCTAGGACTGTCATTCACGTCCCATCTTCTATGTATGTGGGTCTACCCCAGGCTTTGTCCTGTGCCTTGTCTTTTTTGGTGATCTCATCACCTCCCATGGGTTCAGGAGTGAGGTGACTGCACCCTGCACCAGGGTGTTGACTGTATCAGAGGAGAGAAGGAGACTTATATAAGAGATGTTATAAATGTAGGAATGACAGGATTTGATAGGGGAGCAAGAGAGCATGAAGAGAAGAGGATGACACTTAGATGATGATGATGATGATTAGCTTTCATATAGCACTTTAAAGTTTGCAAAATGCTTCCAAAATTTTACTTCATTTGATCTTCAGGACAACTCTGAGAGGTAGGTACTATTATTAACCCTATTTTACAAATGAAGAAACTGAGGCAAAAGATAAATGACTTGCCCAAGATCACACAGCCATTAAGTATCTGAGGCTGGATTTGAACTCGAGTCTTCCTGACTCCAGGTCCAGTACTCTGTTCACTGTACCACCTGGCTGCCTCTAGGTTTCAAAGCTGAGTGACTGGGAAGATGATGGTTCTCTCAACAATAATAGGGAAGTTAGGGGTAGCTAGGTGGCACAGAGGATAGAGCACCGGCCCTGGATTCAAGAGGACCTGAGTTCAAATCTGACCTCGGACACATTTACACTTACTAGCTGTGTGACCCTGGGCAAGTCACTTAACCCCATTGCCTAGCTCCCCCCAAAAATAGTGAAGTTAGGAAGAGAGGATGGTTTTGGAAAAAAGAATATTAGTTCAGTTGTGGACTTATTGAGTTTCAAATGTCCAAGGGACATCCAATTCAAGATGTCTAATATACAGATGGAGATGTGAGGCTGGAGGTCTTGAGAGAAATTAGGTGGGAGTGAGATTTGGGCTGGACAAGCAGATCTGAGAATCATCTGAATGGAGATGATAGTTAAAATCGTGGGAGTTGATAAAAATCCCCAAGTAAAATAGTATACAGGGAGAAGAGAAGAAGGACCAGGAAAGAGCCTTGGAGAACAACCATGATTAGCAGATGTGACATGGATAAAGGTCCAGCAAAGGAGACAGAAAATAAGTGTCAGATAGGTAGGATGAGAACCAGGTGTCATGAAAACCTAGAGAGAAGAGAAAAGAGATTAAGGAGAAGAGGATAATGAACGATGTCAAAGGCTGCAGAGGTCAAAAAGAATGAGGACTGAGAAAAAGCCTGGCAATTGAGAGATCACTAGTAACTTCGGAGAGAGCAGTTTCAGTTGAATAATAATGTTGGAAGACAAAATGCCAGGAATCAAGAAGAGAGTGAGAGAAAAGGAAGTGGATGCATCTATTGTAATTGGCGTGCTCAAGGAGTTTAGGTAGGAGAACTATAGAATGATAACTAGCAGGGATGGATGAATCAAATTAGTTTTTTGAGGATTGACATGGGCATGTTTGTAGGCAATGGGAATGTAGTCACTAGGCAGAGAGCTATTGAAGATTAATGAGAGAACAGGGAAAATGGAGGAGGAGAGAATGGAATCCTTTGTGAATTTAGAGGGGTTTCACTTGACAAGGAGAAGGACCACTTCTTCATGTAAGACAGGGAGAGAAAAAGGAGATACTGGTGGAAGGCACCTGAGGGAGGCAGGATGAGGAAAGGGGAGAAGAGGGGGCTCTTGACAAATGGCCTCAATTTTTTTTCAGTGAAATATGAGGCAAGGTTCTCAGTCTAAGGTTGGTTAGAGGGAGAGCTATGGGAGGTTTGAGGAGAGACGAAGAGCTTTGGAAAAGTCACTACAGTGAATAGGTTAGTGAACTGACCAGGTAGGTGTAAAAGGATTGTCTTGCTGCAATGACGTCCCAGTTGATCTTATGTAACATAAACCTGCAGTGGACCCAGTCTGGACAGTTTTATGATTTTCTCCATCTTCATTCAGTAGCAAGTGAGTAGGAGCCTAGGCAGTGGATGGTAGGATCAATCCAAGGCTGGGATTTGGAAGGACAAGATCTTTGATAGGATGAAGGGGAAAGGGACTTAAGAGAAGAACTGAACTGAGGGTTCAACTGAGTTGACCAAAGGGTCAAGATGGGAAAGGGAAGAGAGTATATCCAGTACAAGTGGGAAAGAACTATGAAGTGCCATGATTGGAGGTCACAATGAGGAAGAACCGGGGTTAGAGTTTCAAGGCAGAAGGTGAGGCAAAATGACAACAGATTGTGATGAGATAAAAGAATTTCAGTTTATGAACGTGAAATTGGTGTATTTGTGACAAGAGCAAGAATATCACCGTCTCTTTGTGTAGCTGAGGTGGGGTGGAGGAATAGGTCATGGGAAATGAGTAAGTTGCAGAATTGAGAGGTTAGGGAGTTTTAGGGAATATCACTATGTATGTTGAAGTTCCCTGTATGAGGGATAGAGGTGGAGAGGAAAGACTGTGAGCCAGTCACTGAATGCATTGAGGGAGGAAAGGGGAGTGTCCTAGAGGTGGGAAGACAAAAACTACCAGAATCTTGATTGAGTGATAAATATTGGATTGAATGAACCTCAGTGATGGGGGTAGAGGGAGTGCCTGGAAGTGGCAATGAGCTGCAAGAAGTAATTCAACTCCCCCACCATGATCAGTGAGTCAGGAGTGCAGCCAGTGCTGAACAAGGTTGCCAGGGACGCTGTGTCATCAGGTGAAAGCCAAGTCTCAGAGAGAACAATAAAATAGATGGAATGAGAACGGAAAAGATGAAATCTAATTTGTTACCTATGTAGTAGGCATTCCAGAGAGCACAGTGGAAGGGTTGAGTGGCTTCAGAGTAGGGGGTTAGGGGGTAGGTGAGATTGGGTTGAGGGGGATGGGAATAAACCTTTTGGAGATGTAACTTGGCAACTACCTCTGCAGGTTCTGAAAATCTGGGAAAGAAAATTACCACCACAATCTTGTTAAATGGTTCAAAATCAGAAATGAATGTAGTTTTAACTGTGGAAATAATATTTAAAAAGAAATTTTAATTATTAATATTAGTATATTAATTATATAATGATATTATATTAATATAATATTAGTTAAATATTAAAGAAAGAACATTTGTTTTGCCACTGTACCCTAAGGAGCACGGGATCTTTCTATTCAACTTATAGTTAAGGCCTTCAATATATGTTGATCTTCCCATTAGAAACTCGGTTCTTTGAAAGCAGGGACTGTCTTGCTTCTCTATTTGTAGCCCCATTGCTTATCAAAATGCTTTACACATAGTTAAGCACTCAATAGAAGCTTTTTCATCGCTACTTTCTGGCAAGGGAGTGAAATATCTAAATCTTCCACTAGGTGGCACTATACTCAAGCCATCAGCCAAGAAATAGCTGTACAGTCTCTAGTGTTTTTGTGCCAGGTTCAATGGTCAGGTCCTGAATTTAGACTCCAAATTATTAAAACAGGAAAAATCCATGGTTTTACCCCAACCCTGGGTCTGCAAGTTACTCTCTCAGTCCAAACAACCTCCCACAATCATAGAACAAAATCTCTCTACTGCTGCCACATAGTTAATTGGATATGGAAAAAGTGAAAGAAAAGATTAAATATTCCTACGTGGGGCCCTCTACCCCTAATTGATCCAGCTGCCAGCACAGCCCTCAGCCCAGTTTAGCCATTGTCCAGAGAAACAAGCCCAGGAACAAGGGGCTAGTCATCCCACCAACTGCCAATCACCAAGAGCCAGTGCTTAAGCACTTACCCACTGCCTACCCCCACCCCGGTCATGCGAGGGCTTCCACATCTGTGATTCTGCATGGGACTTGTATAACAGGGAAGAGAAAAAGTCTCTCTACTTTCTCACTAGCCAAGCAAGAGTCTCACCTACTGTGTCACCCACCCTGACTGCATTAGCTGCTGGAGTCTCGGGATCATTCTTTATCACTTCTGCAGTGCTGGCCTCAGGCAGTTTCTGTGGCTGCAGCTGGGCCCACAGTATTGGTAAAAGTGCAAAGTTGCTTGTGTACCATATCCAGCAGGGCAGGCAGGAAGTCTCTCTAAAGAACAAGAGATAAAAAGGAGAGAAAGCCAATTCTAGGTGCCAACATTCAGGTTTTGTTCCCCTCCTCATTATGCAACTTCCTGGCCATTGAAAGCAGGCATCTAGGGCATATTTTTAGTGATGGAGGGCACAGTAAGCATTAGAGATACTATTCTAGTTTTCTCTCTGCTCCTCAAAATGACATCATCCTGGGTCCTGGGATAAACAATACTATGAACAAAGACAAAGGCAATCATATGAGAGGGGGTAAGAGTGCATGACATGAGCACCAGTTACACCTGGAATGTTTTTCCGTCTCACCTCCACTTCTTGGAACCCCTAATTCCCTCCAAGGCTCAGCTCATTGCTCCCTCTGACAAAAGGCCATTTTTAATTCACCAGTTAATGTCCCCTGTCCCATATTCAGGGAAGCAGAAGTGGAAAATGACACAGTTCCTGACCCCACTGAGGTCATACCCATATCAAAGATGGATCAGAAGCTAGGAGCATAATTAAGAAACTGTTCAGGTGAGGAGGAAGGAACTAAACTTGTGTGGTGGCCTAGTGAGCTATGAGAAGGTAACAGCTGTGAGAGATACTGAGGAGGTAGAATAAATAAGATATTACTCATTGATTGGCTATGGGTGGTGAGCTCGAAGGAAATGTCAAGGACGACTCCAAGGTTGTGCACCTGAGGAACTGGAAGGATGGTGGCACCCTCAACAAAAAAAGAAAAAGAAAAAGAAAGTTGAAGGAGTGGAGGAAGATAATGGGGTTTGGACATGTTCAGCTTGAGGTACCTACATCTATGAAGATATGGCCTATTGGAGATGAGATGTCCAACAAACAGTTGGTGACGGGGGCTGAGAACTGAGGAGAGAGACTAGGGTTGGATTTGTCCGTGAATGAATGAAAAACTAATTGCTTACTGAATGCAAAGCACTGTGCTAAGGATATAAAAGAAAAGCAAGACAGCTCCTGTTCTCAAGGGGTGCACATTCTAATGTGGGGAGATAACACATATAGAAGGTTTTAGCTACAAGAGAGATAGAGAGGCCCCCAATCTTTAGGGTGCAATGGCCGAGCTGATGGCAATGCATCTTCTTTAATATTATTTCCATCAATAAAACCACACTGTTTTTCTGATGTTTTCTGATGTTTTTCTGATGATCAAACAGCCATTGGATAGAGCCAAGGACTTTGGCAGTAAAAACTTCCTTTTTCGGGTCATCAGGAGCTGTGGTTGCTGGGAGGAAAGGGGCTTTGTTCAGCACCCGGAAAGGAAGTTATCAGATCCCATCTTCAAAAGGTTACTTCCCTGGACTATGATTTTGGGAGCCAGGCTGCAAAAAAGGCTGGTGAGGGGTAACTGCTGCTGTTCTGGGGACTTTGGGGCTCAGAGTACTGGCCTGTTTCTACCTATGTCTGAGAGGAGGTGGTGCTCAAGGTGATTTGACCTTCTTGGCAGCCAAAGGTGACTTGTCTGCTCTGCCAGTGAGACTTGGGGAGCAGTTAGTGGGCTCCCTTTCCATATGTATTGCTCCCTTCAATGATGGTTATCAGGGCCAGGATGGAAGCAGGAGATCTGGGGAGTCATCTGCATAGAGATAACGATGGAACCCATGGGAAGTGAGGAGATCACTAAGATCTAAGCTATCACTAAGATAAAGAGAGAAGAGATAAGGGCTCAAACCCTCGGTACACTCCTAGTTAAGTGGCAGTATGGATATTATGATCAAGCAAAAAAGACTGAAAAGCAACAGTCAGACAGATAGAAGAAGGACCAATTGAGTAGATTTATCAAAATTCAAGGAGGAGAAAGGATTCAGGAGGATGGTCAATAGTACCAAATCCTGCGGAGGGGAAAGGAAGGAAGAAAGCATCTACCATGTGCCAGCAACTGAGCTAAATGCTTTTTAAAAATACAAATATTATCTCATTTGATCCTCACAATAACCCTGGGAGGCAGGTGCTATTATCATCAACATTTTACATATGAAGAAACTGAGGCAGAGAGCAGGTAAGTAGTTTTTCCAGGGTCCCACAGCTAGTGAGTGTCTGAGGCTGGATTTGAAGTCAGGTCTTCCTGACTACAGACCCAGCACTCTATTTAGTGCAACACCTGGTTGCCTCTAGTTAGAAGAATGAAGACTGCTAAAAGGCCATCAGGTTTAGCAGTTAAGAGGTCATTAAGAACCTTGAAGAGGGTTTTATTTGGATAATGAGGTCAGAAACCAAATTGCAAGGGGTTCAGAAGTGAGAGGAAGGTGAGGCAACAAGTGGAGATAGCTTTTGTTGGGGAGATGGGGTAGGAACTGTGATGTCATTACTGTAAGGAATTCCCAATGAGGGATTCTACCAAAGTAGATCTATGATTGCTTTGCAACTTAGAGTTATCTAGGAAGTAGGTTTCATTATCAGCCTTCTGGACTCACCATTGCATTGATCAGACTTCTTAAGTTTCTCAAAGCTGTAGCCGTTTACGATATGGTAGTCACTGTATGAGTTGTTCTGCTTCTGCTCACTTCAGTCCGATCAGTTCATGTAAGTCTTTTCAGGTTTTTCTAAATCCTTCCCTTTATTTCTTACCACATAACATCTTTCTATTACATTTTTATGTACCCTAATTTGTTCAGCCATTCCACTGATGGGCATCTTCTTTGTTTCCAGTGCTCTGCTACCTCAAATAATTCTGCTATAAAGATTTTTGTGCATATGGACTCTTTCCTTCTGTCATTGATCTTTTTGGAATGTAGCAGTAGTAGAGTAGTAGTAGTAGTATTGTTGGGTCAGTTAATAAACATTTTAAAAAATAAAATGTTCAACACCACAAATTGTCATGTTAACCTTGCACAGGGGCCACCCTAATCTTCTCTGTATCATTCCAATTTTGGTATATATACTGCCCAGGAGAGTACTCAATAAACATCTACTAAGCACCTAGTAAGTACTAGGCACTGTGCTAAAAGATGAGGTTATAAAGAAAGGCAAAAGACAGTCCCTGCACTCCAGGAGATCAACAATCTAATAGGTCAAAGAGTATGCAAAAATAAGTTACTTTTGGGGCAGCTAGGTCTTGCAGCGGATAGAACTCCGGCTTTGGAGTCAGGAGGACCCGAGTTCAAATCCAGCCTCACGCCAGACACTTGACACTAGCTGTGTGACCCTGAGCAAGTCACTTAACCCTGATTGCTTCAAAAAAAAGTTACTTTTGGGGTATATGGTTGCATAGTTTATATTTACAAATTACTCTAGAATGTTGCTGGACCAATTTATAGTTCAACCAACAGTGCATTATATAACGGTCCTCCCATAGCCTCTCTAGTAATTTTCATTTTCCCCTTTTGTCATCTTTGTCAATCCCATGAGTGTGGAGTGGAACCTGGGAGTTGTTTTAATTTGCATTTCCTTTATTAATGGGGTTTAAGTTTGGGCTTTTGCACGAACCTCTCCTCACTGGTGGAAAGGATGACTAGCCCTATACATCCTAGATCCAACACAGGTCAGGCTAATGCTGGGAAGGGAGCCAGGACAGGTGCCGACTGGCAGTTGTTGCTCATGCCCAGAAACCAAGTGCAGATTCAGTGTGGACTGAGGAGGGGACCTGTGCCTAAAGGTGGCAGACCAGAGCAAAGAGTAATCACAGGCCTGAAGCTGTGTACCCGGCAAGGAGCAGGAACAGAAATGAGCGGCAACAGACCTCGGAGAAGGGTCTTAAATCCTGCCCCCAAATTAGTCTGAAGCCTGTAGCTGAACAAACAGAAGACAGAATGACTAGAGGAGGTTTACATGAGAGAAGGGGTCCCAAGGACAGACTAGAAAGGCCATAAAAGATTTCTGAAAATTCCCAGAGAGGAACACCTAGATCACAATCTGAGCACAAAGAGGGTGGTAGCAGCACCCTGGCTACAGACCCAGGCACTAACAGGCAGAGCTTCTTGAAGAAAAGTGGGGACCTATGGGTCTGGGATGGCTATATCAAGGACAGGCAGCAGACTGGGCTCCTGAGCCCATATTTACTAAGGTTTATGGTTACACCCTCTACTCTCTGGGCGAGGCTGCGGCTGCGGTGCTGTGATAGGAGATAGGAGGCAAGCCTGGCAAGGAGAGGATATGACCCAGAAATTAGGGATCAGGTCTGAGGGTTCAGTGGGCATAGAGGAGAGTGACAGACAGACAATTCATGTTTATATAATGCTTACATAACGCTTCAAAGGTTTCCCTATGATTACCTTGTGAAAGGGAGGAAGCAGGCCAGAAGGGGGTGAGATGGGAAGGGATAAGCTCCAAGTGACTAGGGGAAGAAAGTGAAGGAGTACAGGAACTGAGGGGAAGGGGCAAGGGGGACTAGCAGGGGGAGATATGGGAGAGGGGAATGGCTACATAGAAAAGATGAGAACAAAGAAGGGAGGGCACTAGGGAAGAGGAAATGAAGACAGAAAGGGGAGATGAAGATGGAGGAGAAGGGCAAGGGGGACTGAAGAAGGGAGAGGGGGAGGAGGGGCTCAGATGTCATCTAAGTCATCTTACAGTATGTGCCCAAGGTCACATAGCTAAGAAGTCAGGATTCAAACCCAGGTCTCCTGGCTTCAAACCCAATACGTTTTCCACTCGTAATAGGCACCTCCTCAAGGAGGTGAAGGGGATGAAGAAGGGAACAGAGGAAAGGAGCAAGGATGGGGGGGAAGAGTGATGAGGACCACGGGAGAATGAATGATGACGGGGTGAGGAGAAGGAACGAGCCTAGCGCTGGCTGGGCCATGGAGGGAGATGACGAGAGCAGCAAGGGCACAGAGAGGGTACCCAAGCCCTGGGAGGCGAGAGGCCGGCCCCCGGGGGTGGAAGGCGGGGCCCCTCCCGGCCTGGTGACGTCACACAGCCCTGGACGTGCCCGCCCCACCCCCACCTTCTGGAGACAGCCCGATCCCCGCTTCCTCCCCGGCACTTGCCCAGCCGCCGGCAGCTGAGCCTCCACTGCCCCCTTCTCGGAGCTCGGGGCTCCGGCCCCACCCCCGGCCCGGCCCGGCCCGGCCCGGCCCGCCCCCGCCCGCTGGCCCGCCCACCCGCTTCTCGGCAGCAGCAGCGGCAGCGCAGGCCCGAGCCCGGGGCGCAGCCGGGCCCGAGAGCCAGGCAGGCAGGCAGACGGACGCAGGAGCGCAGAGCGACGGCCGCCGCCGCCCTGACCGTGACCCTGACCGCGGGCTGCGGGTGAGTGCGAGCCGGGCCGCAGCGGCCGCGGCCCCGCAGGCCCCACGCAGCCCCGAGGCCCCGCGGCCTCCCTTCCCCCTCGCCTGCCTCTCCCCTTCGCCCCCTCCCACTGGCCCTCTTCTCTCCCTCCTCTCCTTGCCCTCCTCCCCCTGACAGTCCTCTCTCCCCTCCCCCTCCCACTGGCCCTCTTCTCTCCCTCCCCTCTTTGCCCTCCTCCCCCTGACAGTCCTCTCTCCCCTCCCCCTCCCACCAGCCCTCTTCTCTCGTTTCCCTTCCCCTTTTTTGCCTCCCCTCCCCCTCCCGTCTGTCTCTCCCCATCTCCCCCTCCTATCTCCCCTCCTCTGTCCCTTCTCCCCTGCTACTTGATCATCCCTTCTTCCCCTGTCTCCCATCCTCCCCCTCCCTGTCTTGTCTCTGTCCTCTTCTACCCTTCCTCATCCTTCCCCAGTCTCCCCTTCCTGTTCCTCTCTTCCCCCTCCTCTGCCTCCTGTCTCTTCTCTCTATCCCTCCTCCTCATTTCTACCCCCTTCCCCATATTTCTAACCTCCTCCTTTTCCCCCTTCTCTAACCCCCTTCCCCTTCCTTTACTCCCTCTGTCCATCTCCCCTCTTCCCCTTCCTCTGGCTGCCTCACACTCATCCATCTTTCCCCCCTTATGCTGTCTAGCCTTCTATACTCTCCCCACATCTCCTTCCCCACTTTCTCTCCTCCCTTCCCTCCTTCAGGGCTCCTCCCTTCTGTTATATCTCCCGTCCCCAGACTGCAGGTTTGAGCCTCAAAGACCCTTTCGATTCCCTGCCTCTCACCAGTCTCAAACCCTGGGGTTTGAACCAGAGTGCTGTTGGGGAGGGAGGGTGCAGCCTCAGCTTCCAGAAGCAGATGGAGGGGGGGCGGGCAGCCTCTGCAGCAAGGGTTGGCTTCCTATGGGCCTTTGGCCCCATCCTCCTAACCCCTTCTTCACTACCCTGCCTGGTCCCTCCTCATCTCTGTTCTCCTTGCTTATTTTTCTCCCTTCCCTCTGTCTCTTCCCTAGGGAGGAAGGTGCTTTCAGGGGCAATTTAAGTTAGAATACTCTTGGTTGGAAAGGGTCAGAAATCAGGAACATAGACCTTTGCCCCTTCTGCACCCCAGTCCCTTACTCACAGATGCTGTGGGGATTTCTGAGGCTGGAAATAGCCCCATTAGCCCCGCCCTCTTAAAGCTGCTTAATGGAAGGAAAGAAGGGGTGAGGGTAGGTTGGCTGTCCATAGGGCCTGGACCTCGGGGCCTGCCTTCTCTATGCCAACCATTTCCCTCTGGCATCTAAATGCCAAAAGAGATCCAAGGCATTAACATCTATAAGACTGGACCCTGGGCAGAACCGTCACCTAGGCCAAGGTAGTGCCAACCCCTTCCTCCTCCATCACTTAGTGACATGATTGAAAGGGGAGGTCATCTAGTCAATCGATGTCCTTCCCCCTTCCCCCATTTTACAGACAAGGAAGATGCAGCCTTGCAAGGTGAACTAACTTGTTCGAGGTTATCCCCACAGCTGGTTAGTGGGGACTGGATCCCTGGCCCCTCACTCTCAGGCTAGGCCTTCTCATTCCTGCCCAAAAGCTGTCATGGAGCTTCATTGCACCTGATTTCACCTCATTAACACGAGGTGGGAGGGGGCACTAGCGTGTGCCTCAGGGAACCGGTGTGTCACTCTTTTCCCAGTCACCTTTTCCCTTTTGTTCTGGGAAGGTGCAGGACCAGAGTTCTTTCTGTCATTAAGGATGGGGGTGAAGGGGGTGGTTGTTCTATTCTCTGGTATGTTTCCTCTAGGGACTCTAACCCACAGGGCCTCTTTTAAAAGGCCCTGAACACCTCCGACCTCTCCTGATTTGAATTTGGACAGCTGTTTCCTGAGGGAAGCCAGGATCTTCTTTCTCTTTCGGTTTTCTTTTTCCCAAATGACTGGGTATGGGGACTCGGGCCCTAGAGCTGATTATAACCATTCTCCCACAGAGAGGGCCGGGTTTGTGAATCTGTGCTTTTGGTTTGTTAAGTGTATTCTCTCTTTTTTCTCTCTTTCTTCTCTCTCAGGTGATAATTGTCAAACCTGCCACCATGTCCCATGAGAAGAGTTTCTTGGTGACTGGGGATGTTAATACCTCTGCCAACCCTGGATACCCTGGGGGGTCTCAGCCTCCAATGCCCCCCTATGGTCAACCACCCTACCCTGTGGCCCCCCACCCACAGCCCCCCTTTCAGGCTGGTTATGGCCAACCAGGGTATCCTCAGGGGCCCTACCCTCAAGGGCCCTATCCTCAGGGGCCCTATCCTCAGGGCCCTTACCCAGCAGGGGGCTACCCCCAGGATGCTTACCCAGCAGGAGGCTACCCCCAGGAACCCTACCCACACAGACCTTTTCCCACCAATCCTTATGGACAGCCACAGGACTTTCAGGACCCCAACTGTGAGTAATGGGAAGTGGAGACATTGAGGTGTGGGTATAGAAATAGGGGCCTTAGATTTGACCTTCCCTTCTTTTCATCCTCCCCCGCCTAGCACCAATGCATGGAAACTACCATGGGGAAGGGCCTCCATCCTATTATGACAACCAGGACTTCCCAACCACGGACTGGAGTGACCAGAGCATCCGTAGGGCATTTATTCGAAAGGTGAGGAAGATGAAATAGAAATTCTCATCCTTGGGGAGAAATGGAAAGGAGAAAAGAGCTAGCTGGGAAGGTACATAAATCTAAGGGAGGAATTTTGGGTAGTGCCCTGCCTCCAGCCGGGGTGGTCTCCCCAGCCCAGGGACTATAACACTAATCCTCTCTCCCTGTCTAGGTGTTCCTGGTCCTTACCCTGCAGCTGACTGTGACCCTTTCCTCTGTGGCTGCATTCACCTTTGTGGAAGATGTGAAGATCTTTGTCCGGACCCATGTCTGGACCTACTATGTCTCCTATGCCTTCTTCTTTGTCTCTCTCATTGTCCTTAGCTGCTGTGGGGATTTTAGACGAAAGCACCCTTGGAACCTCATTGCCCTGGTAAACCCCTAGATCCTAAAACTGTGGATACCCAGTGATGAGACCACCATACTCTGACCTGCCAACCTTAAAGACCCTCAGGGGGTCCAGAGGTTCTACCCCCAGACTTTTCTCAAGCATGGGATTCCTCCATTCAAACCCTAGATCAGGGGTTCCTAACTTTTTGGGCTCCTTTGGCAGCCTGGTGAAGCCTATGGACCCCTCCTCAGAAATGATCTTTTTTTTTAAAGTTTATAATGGAAGGAAATGCTAAATTTCAAGTAGCAGTTAGTAAAAATAAAGGTGTAATTTTCCCCCCATCTAAGTTCATAGAACCCACGAAACCCACCTGTGGACTCTAGCCATTGAACTCCTGCCCTTGACCCTAATCATCCTCAAGACAAGACCTTCCTGGCGATAGTAATCAGGGTTACCTTCACTCTCCTCCTGGTCTCATTAAAAAAGACCACCTGATCCAGGGCCTGCTGCTGGGGCTGGGGGTTTACCAAATGCCATTTTCTTCTCTGCCTCCTCCCTCCCCAACAGTCCATCCTGACCCTGAGCTTGTCATACATGGTGGGCATGATTGCAAGTTTCTATGATACGGATGCAGTCATCATGGCCGTGGGCATTACCACTGTGGTCTGCTTCACTGTGGTCATCTTCTCCCTGCAGGTGAGGTAGATAGGGCCCCTCGTACATCCTCCCCTTCCCTTCCCCTAGCCTGTCTTGGGGTTCTGGCACTCACACTCCTTTTTTCCACCCCCAAGACCCGGTATGACTTCACCTCCTGTATGGGGATCCTCCTGGTGAGCACAGTGGTACTGTTAATCTTTGCCCTCCTCTGCATCTTCATCCGCAACCGGATCATGGAGATAGTCTATGCCTCACTGGGAGCTCTGCTCTTCACCTGTGTGAGTAACAGGGAGAATGCCTAGGGGGAGGGAACTGTGCTTCAGGCCCCGGGGTGCCTGGGCTGTCCCTTCTGAGACCTTAGGGTCTCTTTCTTTTGTCCCCATTCCCAGTTCCTGGCAGTGGACACCCAGCTGCTTCTGGGGAACAAGCAGCTGTCTCTGAGCCCCGAGGAGTATGTGTTTGCTGCCCTGAACCTCTACACAGACATAATCAACATCTTCCTCTACATCCTTGCCATCATCGGCCGGGCTAAGGAGTAGCCCTGGCTGGGCCCTGCCTGGCCACCAACCCCTTCCTTCCTTCTCTGTTTTCTCCTTCCCTCTTTTCTCCTAACTCTCTCCCAGCTCTTTTCCTTCCTCCCTTCTCTTTTCCCTCTGTGATCTCTCCTCCCTTCTCTTTTCCCTCTCTG